TATGACTAAGTCATGGTATGGTATGCTGTACATAATCACGGAAACTGTCAGTGTGTCATTCTGTCAGTCAGTCATAAAATGTCTCATTCAGGTCATATCTTTGACACATATCAGTCAGGCTGCAGTAGAGACTGTGTGACGTTCAGTAACACTGATCCATCCTGTGTTCCTGTTTGTTCAGGACGGAGCTGCTGAAGTTGCTCCTCACCTGTTTCTCTGAGGCCATGTACCTTCCTCCGTCCTCTGACAGCAGTTATCTCAACCCCTGGGTGTCCTTCTTCTGCTCCACAGAAAACAGGTAACACACACACTCACTCATTCACAGATGTGCACAGGAGTTTAGATTATTGGCACACACAGATCCTTAAATCTTCTTTACTGTAGTTTCCTGACTTTATGAAAAAAAAAAAAAATGTATTTTAATCTTTGCTACAGAAAGGACTGAGCTTATTGTCTTGACTGATGTTCATAGCATCTTTTTATAGAAGAATATTAACTGTGTATATAAATATTACCCCCAAAGAATAAAGATTTTGATTAAAAGCTTGACCTGAAACAGTAAAAAAGAGGGTGACAGTGGAAATCACTCTCTGCTGTGCATTAACCTCCACTGTGAGACACTGTGGCCCCTCTGAAGAGCCCTTCACCTCTGAACACATGGAAAACTCTGATAGCCCGCCATGCGTGACCACTCAGCACAGACGTACACTCATGCAGCGCTGACTGACCTCCACCTGTCTTTCACTGCTTCACCCAGACACGCCCTGCCTCTGTTCACCTCCCTGCTCAACGTGGTGTGTGCCTACGACCCCGTGGGCTACGGCATCCCGTACAACCACCTGCTGTTCTCTGACCACCGGGAGCAGCTGGTGGAGCAGGCGCTTCAGATCCTTATCGTCACCCTGGAGCATGAGGCTGGGTCGGCCGCCAGCGCAGCCCTCCAGGCCCTGGACACCTCCGCACTGTCCTCAGCTGCAGAGGAGCAGGAGGTGAGAGGGAGTGGGAGTTTTTTATTACAATAAAAACAATGATTCAGAATTTAAAATAATTTCCTGTCTGTGTTTCAGCCAGCTGCACCTGATAACCTGTTTGTGAATTATCTCTCCAGGATACACAGAGAGGAGGTACTGTGACACTCAGGTCACCATTTAGCTTTGAATACAGTGATGCTTGTTAAAGAGACAGTTTGGATGTTTTGATGTGGGGTTGTATGAGGCACTTATCCTCAGTCAGTGTGTTACCTGCAGTGGATCATGGGCTGCACACCCTCAGTTTGGAGAAGGAGACAGGACACAGAAGCTCAGCAATGTACTGCTGTGGATGGAGGGAAGCAGCAAAACATAATTAAGCCACCTAAAAATGTCAATATCAGTTTAATTGCACACCATATTTAGAATATTTTCAGCATTTTACCTTGCTGTCAGACAGCCATTTCTGACTGAATCACTGCTCTCTTCATAGTCACCAGACTCCTTTGACAAAAACAGTGATTTTAGCTCACTGAACACAGGAGCTGCTAAACTGCTGCTGCTTCAGTCAGTTAGTTTGTTTGTGTCATTGTGTGACTTTGGTGTATCCACAGTAACCCTTAAAAACACCAGACTCACACAATAACATGAACAAACTAACTGATCGGAGCAGCAGTAGACCAGCAGCTCCTGTGTTCAGCGAGCTTAAATTACTGTCTTTCTCTATGGAGTCTGGCTTTGAAGAAGTCGGCAGAAGAAAATGTTGGTAATTGTATGTTTCATACATATCACATCAACATTTCTAAAGTGATGTCCTCTATGAGCCGACTTTGTCACCAAGAGGTGGAGGTGGAGGGGATGGTGGATGTTGTGACACCTCGGCGAGACACCTGCCAAGCTGCAGACCACTGTTTGAGACCAACAAATAACAAAACTAGCTGTTTTGTTAACGAATCACTGCTGCAGTTTTTGTGGCATTTAAGATACCAAACATGGGTGTTTTTTAGTGACCAGATGCTGGTTTTCAGTCGGGTTGATAGTGCCACAAAAAGCGGTTGTTTATTACGGAAACATGGCTGCGTTTCTTTCTGGGATTGTGCCACCAAAACTGTGTATTTTTAGGCCAAAACATGATCTTTTCTGAACCATAACCAAGTGGTTTTACTGCCAAACCTAACCATATGTTAACCACAGCTTTGACACATAAAGTTTCAGTATACCCTCCACATAATGATGTGTAAATGTAACGTATCTGTGGTTTGCAGAAACGTACAATGCCCACATTGTTTCTGGCAGTTGGGTTGTTGGAGGAGAGTGCACTATAGATAACAGCTTCAGTTTCCTGTCGCTAATGTTGAATATTGTGTTAACTTAAACTGACATTCATTTTTTTGAGGTGGCTAACACGTGTTTAGCAGCCGCCCTCATCCAAAACTGTACAATATTAAGCTTCTGTTGTCGTTCTCCTGCCTGCTTCTCCAAACTGGAGGCGTGCCGACCGGCATCTATACACCGACTGTGGACAAGTTACTTAAACAACTTCACTCTGAAACACCCAAACTATCCCTTTAAAGTGTGTGTTCTCTCTCAGGACTTGAGCTTCATCCTGAAAGGTCTGGCACGGCTGATGAACAATCCTCTGATCCAGACATACCTGCCTCGTTCCACCAAGAAGATCCAGTTCCACCAGGAGCTGCTGATCCTCTTCTGGAAGTTCTGAGACTTCAACAAGGTGAGCTCAGTTTTCTATGAGTGGACAGGATGCAGCCGCCTCTGCAATTAAAAAACAGCTTGTTATAGTGACACAGCTTTGTTTTAGAATAAGTTAACTTCAGACATCCAGTCACCACGTTTGGAACCTGATAAACGCTCATGTAGTTCTTCATGTGAGTGAAAATGAGCTGAAACATTAAACCTTCAACACACTGACTCATTTGTGTGTTTTAGAAATTCCTGTTCTTCGTGCTGAAGAGCAGTGACGTGTTGGACATGCTGGTTCCCATCCTCTTCAGCCTGAACGATGCCAGAGCAGATCAGTGTGAGTCATGCGGATTAAATACTGTTTGTGTGTGTATATTAAGATGAGTATTAACGTGCAAAGGCTGTTATCACAAATCTCCAAAAACATCCATTTTTTTGTTTGTGTGCAGCTCGTGTTGGTCTCATGCACATCGGAGTGTTCATCCTCCTGCTGCTGAGCGGAGAGAGGAACTTTGGCGTTCGTCTGAACAAGCCGTACACTCTGCGTGTCCCCATGGACATTCCCGTGTTCACGGGGACACACGCTGACCTGCTGATTGTGGTGAGAGGACGTCTGATGTTACAAGATATCTTACAGTTTATCTTAAAAGCCTAAAAGAATGAGTGAAGTCAGCCACTCTGCATGTCTTTGTCATGTTTAGATCTTCCACAAGATCATCACCAGTGGACACCAGCGCCTGCAGCCTCTGTTTGACTGCCTGCTCACAATCATAGTGAACAGTGAGTATTACACATGAAATGTCGCTCCCTAGTGGCTGACTGTAAGACCTGCAGAGTATTAGTTGTGACACCTTGTGCTCTCCACAGTCTCTCCTTATCTGAAGAGCCTGTCCATGGTGGCGGCCAACAAGCTGCTCCACCTGCTGGAGGCCTTCTCCACCCCCTGGTTCCTCTTCTCCGCCCCCCAGAACCACCACCTGGTCTTCTTCCTGCTGGAGGTTTTCAACAACATCATCCAGTATCAGTTTGATGGTGAGAACAAAGACATGAACTCAAGTCACATAAACACCGTGATAGTCCCAGCCTCTGACAGCTACTGAATCTCCCTCACAGGGAACTGCAACCTCGTGTACGCCATCATCCGAAAGCGGAATGTGTTCCACCAGCTGGCCAACCTGCCGTCAGACACCGCGTCCATTCAGAGGGCGCTGCAGAAGAAGAAGAAGTCTGGGATATCCAGGACCAACTCTGCAGAGACGGAGTCCATGGAAGGCTCCAGACCAGCTGCATCTGCAGAGCCCGGCACTCTGAAAGCCAGTTTAGAGGCAACTCCAGGTATTGAGTTAGACTATAATACAGACCTAAAGTTTCATTATGATCGTAGAAGAAGTTTAAAGGTTCATTTACTGCAAACTTTCAGTAAATATAGAGTCAGTTAAATGAGTATGAACTCCATCAGAATTAGTTTGTGTGTAAATACTCCTAAAAGTTCATGAAGAACGACTTTGTTGAAACAATCCAGCAATTAAGAAAACAGCATTGTTACCTTTATAAATGGTGTTGAAACGTCTCACCAGAAAGTCACTCACTGACATGAAGCAGACATGGAGCAATCATGGAGTCATGTCAAGAGTCAGATACTCACTTTAGTAGCTATAGTTGGATTGGGACACAGCAATTATGATGCATTCAAATTGCAACTCAAAATGGAGGCAAAGACGATGCTCAAGGCACCAAACACTCCTGCAGCACGATCCACTTCTCCACTGCTGATAGGAATGTTCAGGATGTTTTAAAGGGATAGTGCACCCAGAAATGTAAATTCAGCCATTATCTACTCACCCATATGCCGAGGGAGGCTCAGGTGAAGTTTTAGAGTCCTCTCATCACTTGCAGAGATCCAAGGGGAGAGGAGGTAGCAACACAACTCCACCTAATGGAGGCTGACGGCGCCCCAGATTCAAACGTCCAAAAACACACTGAGCCCGTGCTCGTTCTGTCCCTTTAACTGTAATTACAACCCCAAGCCTGGTTTAAACCCGACATTTTTTTGTAAGGATACGAACGTGGACATTGAGGGCTGACTCTCGTCTTTCTTTCCATGCAAGCCTTCGTCATGTGCCTCTTAAGTGTGGAGGTCCCCGTCTTTTTGCTGTCATATACCAGCATCGTGCTGCACTTGGTACACTCGACGAAGCGACACACAAGTTGTCACAGTCGACAACTCACATGTGCGCGGCCGGTGGCAAACCCATCTCTGTCAGTTTATATTTTATTTTCTTGTAATATAGCCAGTAGCATCCATAATAAATGATAGCTTTATTCTATAGCTATAAATCAACTATTAAAACTGTGAAATCAGATGAATTATTTCTTAGTTTTGTTGGTATATTTTGTCACATACAGATATGCAGTGTTGATTGCTGGGTAATGTGCATGTTGATGTTATCCAGCGTCTCTGATGATGTGACGAGATGATATGTGCCTGTCATAATAATGTGCACAAGGGTCCATCGTAACTACCAGACGCCACTGGCCATCGGTGCAGGTTTTGGGGGACACAGGGGACACGTCCCCCTCAATATTTAGAACTCCTGCATTTGTCCCCCTCAGTTTAACATAGAGTTGCAGAGGGCTTTTGTTTTGCAGAGCTTCTAGAACGCGACACATAGATGCAACAATGCCTCCAGTGAAGTAAATGGTAACAGTGTGCAAACTTGGTGCATAAAAATTCACTAGAATGCTGGAGATGAAGTGTTTGACGCTGGGAGAAAGAGCATCAGACCCCCGCTTAATATGTGTCCAGAAAAAAACGTACATCATGTCCTCACTTTGCTAATGAAGTGCAGTGAGGCAGTAGTGTTGCATGGAAGGAATGTATTCAGGTCTGAGGTTTGATCAGCTGCAGAGAAGTGTCCTGTGATGTGGGAGTGGTGTGACAAGTGTCTGTAGATGTTTTTTTTTTTTCCATGAAATCCAGTGTGTCTGCTGTGACTCTGAGTCTGAGCTGACGACAGCTGGAGGTAAAACCTTTACACAGCCGCCTCTCATGTCTGCAGCGGGTAAAGATGATTTGTTTCCTCTGCAGTTAAAAAAACACTCGTCTTTCTTCCTTTAGGAATCGATAAGATAACAGAGAAGTCCCAGGTGAGCGTGGACGGCACGATGGTCGCTGTGCCACATTCAGACTCTCAACAGACGACGGCTGACAGCAGCGCAGCAGCTGGAGCCAGTGACACAGAGTCCAACTCAGAGAGAGACCCCGAGGTAGACGAGGCTTCACATCACTCATCCTCTCACTTTGTTTGTTTGTTTTATTTTGTTCTGTCTGCAGTTAAAGTGACACCTGCACTTTTCACTCTGCTGTCAGGTCTATCACACAGAGTCAGAGGCAGCGAGGAGTCGGTTGTCAAGTGTGTCATCATCAGCAGCAGCAGCCTGGAGCGCCAATACAGACTGGGTCAGTAGAACTCTTCTCTACTGTGTGTTTTTATCCTCATGTGTTTATTTCCTGTCTGTTGTTCAATCTGCTGCCTGTGTGTTCTCAGGTGTTGGCGTGGAAGGCGAAGCTTCCTCTGCAAACCATCATGCGGCTGTTACAAGTCCTGGTCCCTCAGGTGGAGAAGATCTGTATCGACAAGTAAGAAAATGAAAATGAATGATAGGACCTTTTTGTTAAGAGTTAAATGGTGCTGTTTATTCCAGAGATGACAGTTTCCTGTTGTCTTTTTTCTTGGATGTTGTGTTCGATGAAGGAGACACTCTTTGCTTCTCCTATTGGGTCATCGCAGCTCTTGCTGCTCATATTAAAGGGATAGTGCACCCAAAACTGAAAATGCAGCCATTATCTACTCACCCATATGCCGAGGGAGGCTCAGGTGAAGTTTTAGAGTCTACAGGCTAGCTACAGGCTACAATGAGGCTAAAAACAGAGTTCAAATGAGGTTTTTCCAAACAACTTTTTATGTCGGGGCTTCAGGACACTTGGATCACTAAAGACGAGCAGTATGGAGATATTTTGTGGTTTCAATAATGTGTTTTTGGACGTTTGAATCTGGGGAGCCGTCAGCCTCCATTAGGTGGAGTTGTGTTGCTACCTCCTCTCCCCTTGGATCTCTGCAAGTGATGTGAGGACTCTAAAACTTCACCTGAGCCTCCCTCGGCATATGGGTGAGTAGATAATGGCTGAATTTACATTTTTGGCTGCACTATCCCTTTAACAGCCCAGTTATTGAAGGCAAAATACAGAGTTCTGCTCTGGGAAACAAAACTTGTGTTGGCATTTTAAAATAGAAAATTAGGTGCTCTTCAAGAATAGAGCAAGAAGGAAGAATTACAAAAACAGTGACTGTCCATCTTATTTTTAAGGGCGCTCCATGGTGTTGGTTCGCAATCTGAGATGCTTCGGAGGCTCTTTGAGTTTGAGCTAAAAATCTTTTGTCAAGTACGAGATGATGCTCAACGAAGTGTCCATTATCAGGGATTATTGAACAGCAGCAGGGCCATTGAGTCCTGATTATGAACACCTCGAAGAACATTATCCTGCTTATACTATGGTCATTTGACAAAGGAAAAAAACACAAATATTCATGTATATTTTAATCCTTTTTGGAGTCACAAGCCATCACTCAGTTTCCTTGGTAACAGTCATTACCACCCCATCTTAAAATGTCTTACAGTCAGTGTTGCAACAATAAGGCCTTTAATGTCATGAAATAGTCTTAAATTGAAATTTGTGAGGTCTTAACTGCTTTAAACATTTGATCTAATTTCATTTATCCATTTTTTAAATTTCTTTTTGTGAAAACGAGTGATGTCTTTCTAAAAGTTTCACATTTCTAATGTTACAGATCTTTAAAAACTGTAACACTGACATTTTACTGACCTGTTGGCAAAATGTAGACTGACTTAACTCACTGACTCTAGTAGCACTTACCTCTGCACAAGATCACATATACACTACTGACCTGCGATGTTTAAATAAGTAAAACATGATTTGTCCAAAAAATCTGTCCTAAATTTGGTTAAAACGTGTCTTGAACGTGTCTAAAAAGCATTAGATTGAACTGTCTGACACTTGTAGACACCCTGATGAGGCTCTCATGCAATGGAAACGTCATTCACATCTCCAGTAAATAGGACGAACCTCAGCGTGCTTTTATACCTGACCTGTTTGGATCGGTTAAAATGAACTGAGGTCTGTTAGTGCGGTTTGTTTGGGCAGCTGTCAGTCAAACCCTGGTGCAGACCAAACAACCGAACCGAGACCACTTGAAAAGCTGTGTCTTCCAAACGGACTCTGGTGCGGTTTATTTGTGGTGTGAAAGGAAACGAACCAACCACAGATATTATGATGCAGATATGAGATTGTAGCAACAGCTAAACAAATCTAAATCTGTCCATGATCTCATAAAGGACCCTGATAAAGGACATGTGTATCCCATAACCTCTCTATGCTAATGCATACATGTAACCATGGTAACCATATGCACGTCAGTGAGGGAATTTTCCCTGATTAAATTACTGTGTCCGACTCAGTGTGCTTTGTCTGTTCATTACAAAGTGTGTGACAGTGATGCGACAGTATGAAGCTCTGAGTCATTACTGGACAAGACGCCTTCTTTTCATCCTGTCTTTACGTTAGTCAAAATTCATAACATGCCATAGATCTGCAGTCTGATCACTGCCCAATAATAATGCCCACAATCAGCTCTTTGTGAAGTTCCATTGTATTAGAGAGAAGTCAGACATCTGTACAGCTGATATCTCCAACACTCTGCAGCTCACACCAAAACTAAGTTGATAAACAGCACGACAGGTGAGAGAGAGAATGGATTTTGATCTTTGGGTAAACTGTCCCTTTAATTGTTGAGCTCAGTTTCAGTGTTGTTGTTGTCTTTCTCAGGGGTTTGACAGACGAGTCAGAAATCCTAAAGTTCCTTCAACACGGCACGCTGGTCGGCCTCCTGCCCGTCCCTCATCCCATCCTCATCAGGAAGTACCAAGCCAACGCCGGCACCGCCATGTGGTTCCGCACCTACATGTGGGGCGTGATCTACCTACGGTAAACAGTTTCACGTGTTTTAAAAATGACAACAGAGCCGTCTGATCTCAAACTGGCCCGACAAGTCTTGACTCTTTAAAATCTTTTGGTCATCACGGTTTGAGTTTTAACAATGCCTTGTTTTCTGACTCTTGTTACCATAGCAACGTGGATCCTCCAATCTGGTACGACACGGACATACGGCTCTTTGAGATCCAGAGGATTTAGAGCAGCTGCCGAAGGTTCTCTTCACTCACTCGCCACCAACGAGATCTCGCAGCTGACCTGAGATCAGAGGAACCATTCTCTGGTGTTATTTAAAGAAAACAAGCAGTGATGATGTCGTGCTTCGTTCTTCCTGCCAACTTTCAGTGTTCAGACTAAAATGAAGGATGTTTAAATGTGTCAAACAGAAGTTAGTGTGTGTCACACACAGACCTGTGTCACCAGCGATGCCAAACAGTCATTAAATCTGACATTTATTGAACATTGATTTATTCACAAGTTCCAGCCAAACAAAGTGGGAAATCATTTCTTAATGGAGCTTTGTGCACAGAGGAGTCACGCTGAAACAGGACAGAGACAAACCAAACTGTTGACAGACAAACATCATTGTGTTCTTTAACTGCATTTAAAGAAAACACACTATTAAAAAACAGCCTCAGACCCAAACTGTAGAAGGATGTCCTCATACTTTTGGCCATGTATAAACTAAATAAATATATACCATGTTTGGTTTTTTTCAACCACACATTTGTATAATATCTCCTTCAATAGTCACATTAAGCCGCTGCTGCTCGTCACGCGGAGATGAGCAGCTCCATTAAAGCTCCCACAGAGTGCATCCTGTAGAAAACGCTGAGCGGCTGACTCAAGTTCACCAGAACGAACCAGACAGAGAAGCCGAAAAACTGTTTCCCGAGGCCGTTCTCAAACTGGGGGTGGACTCCAAACGCAGGGATGACCCACAGCTGCGAGAGGAGGGAACGTGGACGTGTTGCATGAACGCAGGAAGAAAAAAGAAACTTTATTAATAAAAAATATTTGATTATTAGTTACTCTATAAATCAGATAATAAAAACATGAGTTCACCATAATGTTGGCGAGAATAAGGAAAGCACAGATTTCTTGTATCGCTCTCTTGGTCCAGGGTTTTTTCCCATCATGCTCTTGAGCAGCAGCTGACGTGTTCCCCTCCAGCAGTGAAATATCCGGCTTCCTCTCCTCTTGTATCGGCACAGCAACCTTTTTCTTCAGCTGTGGAAACAAAACCATTTAATCACTGACTCGTTTCAGTTTACAGAACATTCACATGAAACGCAGGTACCTTGAATATGCTGCTCCGCTGCCTCTCTTTCTTCTTGGCGAGGAGGTTGGGGTGCCTGTGGAGGCCTTCGATGATGAAGATGTTCTGGAGGATGAGCTCCAGCAGGCTGAGGAGGGAGTAGGACAGGTCGAGGTCCCCCAGAGGGCTGTCGGTCCCTAAAGCCAGGGCAGCCACCAGGGAGAAGTAGGAGAGGGCGAGCTGGCCCAGAGCTGCTGCGAGCAGGAGGAGCACATCCAGGCTGCGAGTCGGGTTGTGTCCCGATTCATTCGCCCTCATCTCCAGTCTGTGGACCAGCATCCCGGCCAGCGAGCACAGAGACATGACGGGCATCACGGCTAAATGGTAGCCGTAAAATATGTGGAAGGCGGTGAGGCGGAGCTGCTGCTGGCCCACCCAGACCTGGTAGAAAATGAAGACGGCCACTCCCGCTATGAGCACCAGGATGCCAAACACAAGGCCGTATATGACCCCGCCTTGATAGACGACACGAAAGGTCAGCTTCTGAGCGACGTGGTGGGGACCTGGACTCATCCTGCGGCCCACGTTCTTCCACATCACATAGATCATGCAGCCTGCCATCAGGTAGTACTCCATGCTGAAGGGAAACAGGATCTCAAAGCCTTTCCTGAAGGTGAGGCAGGCTGCGCTCGCAGTGCACTGACAGAAGGTCGAATTTAGAATTCCTGAAAGACGGCGTGAAGGAAGACACGTGAGAAAATACACACTGATCAGCTACAAGATTAAAACACTGACAGGTGAAGTGAGTAACATGTTCTGCAGGGAAACCCTCGGTCCTGGTGTTCATGTGGATGCTACTTGGCACGCACCAGCCACCCAAACAACATTACAGACCAATCCCACTCCCTGATGGCAGTGTCCCCCCAGCAGGACAGTGCGCCATGCCACACCATAAAACCTGCTCAGGAATGGCCTGAGGAATGTGACAAAGCCATCAAGGCGTTGATCTGGCTTCTAAATAACCCAGATGTCGATCCGATCAAGGGTCCACGGGTCATGCCGGTACCCCAGAGGTCCTGTGTCCATGTGTCGATAGGTCAAAGCCAGTCCGATCCACAATGAGGCCTCCGACCTGTCCAGGTATGAACACAGGACCTCTGGCAGTGTCCTGCCGTGTCAGACACCAGGGTGTTGGTGGTGGAGCCTTCAAGTCCTGTGGGTTGTGAGGTGGGATACCAGCACGTCCTATGGGTGCTTGATCGGATTGAGATCTGGGGATTTTGTCGGCCAGGTCGACAACTTGAACTCTTAATCACCATCCTCTGGCCATTTTAGCAGTTTTTGCTGTGTGGCTGGGGGGTCACTGCCTTCAGGATTGCTGCTGCCATATGGGGGTGTACTTGGTCTGCAGTGGTGTTCAGGTGGGTGGTGCATGTCAGTTGGCGTCCAGACTGCCAGGACTGAAGGTTTTCCAGCAGAATATTGCATTGTAACAAGATGATCAGTGTTACTGACTTCATCTGTCAGTGGTTTAATGTGTTAGCCGATCAGTGTGTGTGATAATTTAGTTGCAGGCGGCGATTTCAGGGTTCAAGCCAACACAGATTGTTAGCAGTTAAAAGCTGTGGAGGATCAAGAGCTTTGACAGTTTCAGACACCTGAGTTTATCAGGTTTAATGACAGGTGAATGGAGGCTCGTTCATTTACATCCGTATCTCTGTCGGCCACGCTCTTCATCTGCAGTTTGGTACAAAAATTTCATACAAATAGGACCTTTGGTTTAGGCTGAGATATGAAAAATACATGCATACATGGTTCAACATTGTTATGCTAGTTTTTTAATGATTGTACAAACAATTTCTGATTTATGGTTCGATTTGTGTTTTGCCAAGTCCCTTTTTTTGCATTTTGCTGTGCTCCCTAGAGGTCAGTTTGACTGAACCTTTCAGGGTATGTTTCGAGTACCTGTGTGGACATTTCCTGCAAGTTTCATAATGACTGACCCCACAGATGTAGAGTTGAGTTAGGTCTATTTATGTGCTGAGCCACGCCCCTTTTGAAGTTCACTGGTAAGTATCTTTACAATGCAATGACATATCAACAAGCTTTTGATACCTATTTAAAGGCTTTGTCCGATAATGGTCCACAGAAAATCTGGTACATATGGGACCTTTGGTTTAGGCAGAGATGTCAAAAATATTCAAATTGCCATGGTGCTGCCCATTATTGAGCGATTTTGAAATAAGTTTGCATACATGGTTCAACATTGTTATGCTAGCTTTGTAATGATTGAACAAACAATTTCTGAATTATAGTCCGATTTGTGTTATGCAAAGTCCCTTTTCTTTCTTCAAAAAAAAAAATCCAGAGTTCTCGCGAGAGCACAATTTGAATTTGCTCAGCGAGTCACTCTGGCAGNTATGCAAAGTCCCTTTTCTTTCTTCAAAAAAAAAAATCCAGAGTTCTCGCGAGAGCACAATTTGAATTTGCTCAGCGAGTCACTCTGGCAGTCAGTAATGATGCTCATTACCCATGCAGTTGGAGAAGAGCTGCACCAATCACATCGGTGTATCTGATATAGGCGGGCCAGAGGCGAGCTAAACAGATGACGACAGCGCTGCGACGACGAAGTCCAGAATCAGTCAATAAACATGGCAAGATGGCTACGGATGAACACCAGTTGTTTGAAACGGCTTCGGCCGCTACAATGAACGAGTTAGACTTGTCTTTTTCTCTAAAAGAGGAACAAAAGACGGCGCTCGAGTCTTTCCTTTGCAAGAAGGACGTTTTTTGCTGTTTTGCCGACCGGATACAGCAAGAGTCTAATCTACCAGTTAGCTCCGCTGGTAGCTAAGCTCTGGATACATCACTGCGTGTATTGTTCTGATTGGTCGTAGTGTTATTCAATTGCGTGCAGTGATATTTTCAAATACATGCTTGGTGCCGCCCCTCGAGTTGGGCCATTTGCATTACTCATAGCCAGACCCTAAATCTTTCTAGATTTGGGTCTGGATTTCCAGGCTAGATATTTTCTGCAACTTTGGTGAAGATTGAAATTCATTAGTAGGCTAAGTATCTTTAAAATGCAACGAGATAGCAACAAGCTTTTGATAAAGTTTGACCATCTTAGTTCAGCAATGATCCAAAGAAAATTTGTTACAAATCAAACCTACGGTTTAGGAGATGTCAGAAATACGTTTTTCAAAAAAATTTAAAATGGTGGAAAATGTAGTCAGGCTGATTAAAGTGGTTCGTGGGGCAGATTTGTTTAATGAGGACAGATGGATGTCTGTACTAATTTTTGTGTAACTTGGACTCACAGCATAGTTTCAAAGTTGACCTTTAATTGTAGCGCCCCCATCAGGCTGATTGGAGTGATGTTTGTTAAGCAGCATTTGCTATCAATGTCCAGCCATTGGTGTAAATGTCATGTGTCTACAATGTGCCGTAAACACTTGAAAAATAATAAACCCGCTCACACACAGAAGCGTTTCATCTCTTTGGGCTTGAACCCACAACAAGGTAGGTTTGATTTACACCCATCAGGTTCATCTACCTGCAGCATCAGACACGTCTCCTTCAGATGAGCTCGTGTTGCCCAAATAAAGCCCGTCTTCTTTTTCTATCTCGATCTCCTCGTGGATGGTGTCCTCCGTCACTGCGTTCAGCCACAGCAGCAGGTTGGCCGACAGGATCATCATCAACCCCGACCTGTGTCGAACGCAGGATGCAAATATTCACACAGTCAAATATGAAGGTTAAAAAATAACACGTACAAAAACAACACACACCTGAAGCTGGAAATTACAAACGTATGGAGTGATGATGCACCTGGTGATGATCTTGTGTCGGTGGATGCAGTCTTTGGAGTGAGCCCACAGTAAATACGTCTGCAAAAGACAAATAAACGGTTATCCAATAATAAACACAACGAGTCCTGAGGACAAAACAGAAAGAATTTAAAGATTTATTGAGATGTTTTTACATAATACAATGTTAAAGTGCTACAGGAAATAAAGGTTAAAATAAACTGAAGGAGACAAATAATGACACAAAACCTGTCAGAGTCACAGGAGTTATTTTGAATTTTTAATTTTAAGTCAGTCAAGAAATTTCTTATAAACTTTTCAAAGAACTCGTCTGCCAACTTTCACATTAATAGTGTTCATAATTTAATGTTTATTTTAGCAGCCTGTCCCTTAAACGTGCAGATTTTTATATAATTTGAGGCTTTAATTTAAACAATTTGTTAGATTTAGAAACATTACGTCACTGAGCCGATTCCACTGACTGATGATGACCAAAGCTGCAGCTGAAACCTCTTGTAAAAAAGTTGGTAAGTGGACCTACAGTATGAAATAAGATATTTTGTTGCACATATCCTGAATTTAGCTGACAGGGTGATTGTTATCAAGGCATTTTTAATATTATTTTAAGGGACATTTATTTAATAGTGATCAGGTTTG